TTATCCTGGTGAGGTTCAGCTGAGTGAGAGGGATCAGGGAGCCAAGAATAACATGGTCGACAATTTAAATAATAAACTCTTGGGGATACGGGGTTGTGCAGCATCCAGACTGCCACTGACTTTTCCCAAGAGAATTATGCAGAAACTTTCTGTCTATTCATCTCCTGTGCAGTGCGGACAAAATTCCAGAGTTGTCAAGTATTTTGGGAGCAGATTCTTCTTATCAACATTTTTGCACAAGCTAGTCTTCCAAAAGAAATAGCTATTATTTTCATGTGACTTTGAATGTCCCTCGGGAATCACATCCCCACGACCCACTTAGGCTTCAATTTCTTCTTCTGTAAATGGGGATAATAACACCTGCCCTGTCTAGGTTCAATTGGCATAAGCCAGACGGGAACATTTTTTAATACAATAAAGCATTAAAATATATAAGGCATTTTTTTTATCATTAACAAAGATACTGGGCCAAGATTCCTTTCACCTCTCAAGCAGTAAATCCATCTAAATTAATGTTTAACATGAGGCCTTAATACCAATATTAAGCAAATATTTAGGACCTTTCCGCACAGATGAGGGTAAATAGTGGCTACCCAAGCATCTAGCAAAGTACTTGGTACAGAAGAGGAGCCTGGCATTTGTTTAATTAATGAGTAGAAGAATATAATGGTCTTCTCTCTTCTAAGGGAGATGGACATTGATGAGCACAGCACTCTAAGCCTCAGATGTAGAGGATCCAGGCTTCTCATTCTGATTCGGCAGACTTTGGAGAGGGCTCCAACAATGCTGTATGTGTGGCCCTAGGGTCTCACTTGATGTTGCTTTCCCAATCCCCTGGATATGCAGTTCCATTAATTAAAATAAACCAAGGGCTTCCTAAGCAATCTTGTTTTTCCACACGAGCAAGCAACTTTTGTCTGTTCCAAATCTCAGGTGTGTCCACTAAAGGCTAAAGCCAAATTTAGAGTAACTTAGAGTGGCAATATTGACTACTTAGTGTTGGGATGGAAACCTGGGCTCTACCACAACAGGAATCTAGGAGGCTTGGCCAACAATTTGAAAGGAAAGATGGCAGGATTGGATGTTGAGCAACCACCTCCTCCCCATCCACTTATCTCTAAATATCTCATAGAATTAGCCACATCGTTGCCTTTATTTTTAAGGAATGACTAGCGGTAGCTACTGGACTGAGCCAGGGTAGAGCAAGGAAAGCTTACATTGTCCCTGAAGCTCTTATTTGTGGGCTCTACCTTCTTCATTTCCTTTAAAAAAAAAAAAAAAAAAAAAAAACTCAGATAGAAAAACATCCTAGGACAGCAGTTTCCAAATCTGAATAGTGTCAGAATCACATAAAGAATTTACAAAGACTTATGGTTCTCTGGTCTTCCAAACAGAATACTAGCTTTTGAAGAACCATACATGATTCTTATTGTCTGTCTATCTACCAGCCAGAGACAACTGGTCTACCACACTGAGACAAATGTGAGTAAATAAGCCTGGAATAAAGAGGGGCCCAGGGAGAAGGACAGCCAATGGGAATCTTCCATTGACACCACTCTTTTTCTTCTCTCCACCCATGGCCTCCCCTGACCCTCGCCTTAGAGGTATGTGGAGGATGGGAGGGCTTTAGAGTATTGCTTGGCATAGTATTAGTATAGCAAACTCTATCACTCTTTCTCTTCATGGTCACCTTGCTGAGTCACCTTGAAAAGTCCTTGGCTGTCTGCCTTGCCAACCACTTATCTCTAAGCATCCCACAGAGACAGCCACTTCGTTGCCTTTGTTTTTAAGAATGACTAGAGTTAGATGACTCTTGTTGGGTACTCATTAAACTGTGCTCACAAAACTAGTGTTACTTGAAATTTGTGGAAATCCTTTGGTGGGAAATTTGTGACAGAGGTGTCCGTTGGTGGCGTGACACATGGGATGGGTAAGAACAGGTTTCACGGGGCTGGAGAGATGGCTCAGTGGTTAAGAGCATTGCCTGCTCTTCCAAAGGTCTGAAGTTCAATTCCCAGCAACCACATGGTGGCTCACAACCATCTGTAAAGAGGTCTGGCGCCCTCTTCTGGCCTTCAGGCATACACACAGACAGAATATTGTATACATAATAAATAAATAAATAAATATTAAAAAAAAAAAGAACAGGTTTCACCACACAGCTTTCCCTGCCATGTGGGGCTCCTAGACCATGTTCTGCTCATGCTTCTTGTGTTAAGTTACAAAAACGTAGAGCTGTGTTGTGAGTCAAAGACATTAAGATCAAGTCAAGCCCTTGTCTCCAAGGAAGATGGACTAGCAAATGGCTCTTTGAAGGCAGGAGGTTGAAACTTGTGAGAAATACATCAGATTCTATAGGCTGGGGCCATTTAGTGGGACCTTGTACCAACGTTAAAATAAAAAGAAGGCTGGAGATATAACTCAGGAGAGGAGTGTTTCCTAGCAGGCACGAGGCTATGGATCCAATCCCCGTACCCCCTGCAAAAAAGAAATGCTTATCCCTTTTGGAGCCACGGAACTGCTAACTTGTCTTTCTGCTTTGCCAGTTTATAAATCTAGAGCTTCTAAAAGTAATTTCTTTAAATCCTTAAAATTACCCATTGCTAAACAGTCATTCATTTTCCTCAAATACAAAAGAAGTTGGTGGAAGTCAGCCAAGAGAAACACTTAAGCCTGTAGAGAGAAGCAGGCTGTTATTAAAAGTCACGGTGGCTATTAGCAATGATGATGTCATAATTAAATGTCTGGAATCCCTGGGATCCCTGCGGCCAAGGAGAGGCAACCGTAGTCTTTCCAAATCAGTTAAGAGTCACCTACCTAATGGTGTTTGGTAACAGTCACCAGTCTGGCTGGGCTTAGTGGCGCACACTTTTAATTCCCAGCACTTAGGGGGGCAGAGGCAGGCAGATCTCTGTGAGTTCGATGCCAGCCTGAACGACATAATGAGTTCCAGGACAGCCAGGTCTATATGGTGAGACCCTGTCTTGGGTAAGAAAAATATAAAGATGACCAGTCTGTGGGCAAGGTTGCGTCTTACAAAGGAATATGGGAACTGGCATGGTGCCCCTGCTTACAAAGCTGTTGACAAGCACCAGGGGTGTTTGAAACTGGTAACTGTTAGGTCTGAGACTACAGGCTGATCAGGCTGTACCTACCTGCAGCAACTTCTTTTTCAGGACTGTTGTAGAGGAAAGAAAGGACAGTGTGGCCACCAGGAGCCTGTCTCTGAATCTCGAACCCTCTAACAGAATCTTCGGGTATCTGGATTTCGTTAGAATGGCACATGCCATTGTTACGTTTCCAAGGAAATTACAGGTTCAAGTTGCCAGGCTCCAGGATAACACCAAGCCACCATTAGCAGGCATATTGCCAACAAGTGCAAGGGTCAGCCATAACTAAATGTGCCCTTCTTCTCTCACATCGTCTGAATAACATATAGGTTGTATTTATATATTTAGGAATATATATATATATCACAAACACATATTGTAACGCAATTTTTTAATAGAGGCTATGGATTTGGAAGAGAGTAAGGGGGACATATGGGAAGGTTTGGAGGGAGGAAAGGGAAGGGGAAATTTGTGTAATTATAACATTAAAAACATTTTTTTAAAGAGGAGTCTGTCTGTCTCATGGGTTTGCTGCCTGCCATATGTCCCTGACATCCTGTCTGTCTGTCTGTATGTGCACTTATGCCATTAATAACTTTTCTAGTAAATCTTTTATCCAAAAAGACTTTCTGCCTCAGCGACCCCTCTGAACCATACATGCCCATTCTGCCTCGTGTCTCCTCCGAATCCCACATCTCCAACCTTTCAGTAACTTTGGAAAAATCTTTGATAAAGCATATTTGGGATTTGTGTGGAGTACTTTGAACATGTCCCTGTGTGTCATCGTCTCAAGCAAAGTGCCCTGTCTTAAGGTAGGCCTTTCGCACAGTTCACGCACTTCCCAGGGAAGAAATGGTCTTCAAGACAAGCTGGGATTGATCTGTTGCTACCGTTCTATAAATCTATGGGGAGCCCAGTCTGGTTCTAGAACCAGAGCAGGCAACATACAAGATGAGCATCCCTGGAGTACCAGAAAGTGAGAGATTACTCAACACACACACACACACACACACACACACACACACACACACACACACACACACACACAAACCCTGTATTTTGGGAGTGTGTCAAAAGACACTGAAATCAACTGGAAGATTGCCCAAAAGCCAAAGCTGGAGCAATAAGAGCAATAACATAAATACAACCGTGCATGAGTCTATCCCAATATGTATCAATTCTGACATATAAATTCCCAGGCAGAGTAATTCCAAAGTGGGAGATGCTGGCAAGCCCTACCTCAGCTTGATGGCTGTGATCCTCACCAGCAGAGACAATGCCCTCTCTTCCCATGGTCTTCCCTTAAAAGCCTACAGCCCCACCTCAACTTGTTCTGGTCGAGAAGACCTGAGGAACACTCTCCAAAAGATCAAGGTCGTAAGAAACTAAGGGTACCTGAAGGCTGTCTTCGCTAACACAAGCCTAAGAAAATGACTAAATATAATGTGTCTTGCTTGGGTGGAGTCCTGGATAGCGCGTGGGCATGATGAAAATCAAGGAGCTCTGAATAAGCTAAAAGCATTATTGTATGGTGGGCCCCTATGTTTATTCATTAACTTTGATATATATGCCACGCTATTGTAAAAAAGGGGGATTTGGAGGAAGAGGCATAGAAGGAGCGTTATTCTACAGTCTGGTGTTCTATGAACCTCAGCTTCTTTTTTCAAAAAGCAAAATCTAGTCTTGCTGAAGTGTCTGCCTTCCTCGTTTGTCTCGTCGGGAGGCCTGAATACAACCAGCACAAGACAGCCCTCTTTGAAACAGCAGAGGTGAGCTTTGGGCCCATCCCTTCTTACTAATTCACACTAACTTTGGCTGTCTACAGATGGAACGTCCATCCGTTGGCTTCCTGGACCTACGTTAAATGTGTGTTCCTTTCTTCTTCTCCAGGGCATGGCCTTTACCCTTGAAGAAAGACTGCAGCTTGGCATCCATGGACTCATCCCGCCCTGCTTCCTCAGCCAGGATGTCCAGCTCCTCCGCATCATGAGATACTATGAGAAGCAGCCGAGCGACTTGGACAAGTCAGTAGCTGAAGTCTGTTCTTTGTGCCCAGTCCTGAGGCTGAGATGCTCTCCCCTGAGGCTCCCAGGGGGTTTCTAAATTCTCTGTGACTAGGAAAACCTGAGAGACTTCAGATCCAGCTCTGTCTCTAAAGAGAGTTACGGTCTCCCTAAAGATGAGGCTTAGAGCAGAAGCACAGCTAAAATGAACCAGGACTTGACCAGTCTGGGAGGCCATCTGAGTGATCGCACAGATGAGTCAGTCCCAGAAGCCTTGATGAAACAAGGCAGGCGCTTGCGGGAGGGCAGCAAGGAGGAACAGTGGAGAAAGGGGTCATGGAGACAGGATGCCTTGAGAAGGATCGAGATGCTGTGTTGAAGGTCATGGGCAACAAATAAGAGCACCACTCCCTCTGAATACTCCTCAGTGGAGACACAACCGCAAAGATCCCGTTTCAGAGTCTTCGAGCCAATGTTAAGCGTTACTAAGGTGGTAGTCACCACCCAGGTGCCCACCATGAGTCAGCATGAGATTTAAATACCCTGACTTCAGCGTCTATGAATTTAACTCTCTGCCATACATAGTTCAGAGATGGCAAAGCCTAGTTGATGTAAGACTAATTCTAGAATGGGTGAAACCTACCTTTCTGCATTGAATAATGAAAGTTACTCTGCCAACTCTGTGCCAATGGTATCTGACTCATTGGATTTTATGAGAATTAAATGCATGTCTTCATGATGTACTTAGAATGTTGCCTGGGGCATAGTGAGCTCTGGATAATTTTTTTTTAAGTGTCATCTTGCCATGGACTTTAGCAGATATATATTAAGAAAATAATGGTTCTCTCTACATCCATAGAGCTAAATGCCCACGAAGGGCAAAGTTCAGTAGCATGTGAGGTTCATACTGCCCCTAGCTCCCTGTGTCTCCTCCAAGTCACCCGTACCTTCTGAGAAGCAGGAAACAAGCGTGTCCCTGCCCACAACCATGTCGCCCCTCCTAAAGCACTAAGCTCACGGCTCTGCTCACATTAACCCCAAGACCAAATTGCCACCAAGTCGAATATTCTCTCCCTTTTGTCCATCCAGCCACCTCACCTCGAAGAGCAAACCAGAAGTTAAACAGCAGATAGCCTAACAAACTGATCCATGCCCGAGCTTTGAACCATCAGAAATTCCTGCTAAACGTACCAAAAAGAATGAGCGTCCAAAGTCAAACATTTGCTTAAAATGTGAAATTATAAAAGCTACGCTCTAATGCTGGCCTGCTCAATGCTTTCCAACTTCATGGGCCTCTCTCACTTGCCTGAAATGATGCTCTAGGATCAGGAAGCGATGAGTGCGCATGTTCCCGAGAGCTCTCGAGGGGGCTTGCTCCTGGTTCCCGCTCCTTTCCACACACTTGCTCCCTGCTCGCTCTCCTCTCACACACTTGCTCCCAAGAGACTCTCGTTTCAACAGGTGACTGGGAGGAAGGCTGAGAAGGCTCCCCAGCCATAGGGACTGTGGTGTGCTGGTAAAGGTTCCAGGGAGGAGGGAAGTAGAGTCCAGAATTGGAGAGAAACGTACACAAATGGCTAGGAAAATGGCACGCCCTACAATGGCGGTGGGTTGAGGGCGTGGCTACCGCCAAGTGTAACTCCTCCCTGGAGCAAAGCCTCCTTTCTTAAACACAATGACGTCATCAGGGGGGTCGGCCCAGTAGTGGTGTCCCTGGGATCAGCTGGCGTTTTCTTTCCTTTCCAAGGTACATCATTCTCATGACTCTCCAAGACCGCAATGAGAAGCTCTTCTACCGAGTGCTGACCTCAGACGTGGAGAAATTCATGCCCATTGTGTACACACCCACGGTGGGGCTGGCCTGTCAGCAATATGGTCTGACCTTCCGCCGTCCTCGGTGAGTACCTACTAAGGGGGCCACGGAGAGGCTGGCCCGTAGAGGGTGAGAAATCCTCTCCAGTGTCCTTGTCTCTTGACTGTTAGAGGCTACGTTAGAGTCAATGGCCCAACAAGGACACATTTGATTTTAAACATGCGCTCGGTAAAATATAACGCCACCAGCCTGGAAATGAACTGAGAAGTTAGCAAGGGGATATTGGATCTTCGCCACCTCCAAACGATAACGCGTTGCTCAGAGGAGTAGTTCCTACTGTTATCAGTCCCCACCTGTCACCTCTCCATGTCCTTCCCCTTTTCCTGTTCGTTTCCAACACCTACAGACCTCTGGGTAATTGAGGACAATAAATAGCCCTGGGCACCAAACACAGGCTCTCTTCCCAGCCCTTAAATCACTATCCCTCCTTTAGAAGTTGACTTAGATTCAACAAAAAATGTCACTCTATAGGCAAAAGCTAGGGCATCACATTTTCTCCTAAAGCCAAAGGATTTGAGAGAAGTTTTCTAAAGAAATAGTTTTTGTTTTCATTTTTAGTACTGGAAAAAATATATGCAAAAATCTGTTTGTGCCAGGAAAATAGAAATGCTCTCAGTGATTCTCGGTGCAAGGTGCCTGATCGTTGTAACGACATAGGTCTAGATATGTATATGTAATAGGATATCATATAAAGCCATTATAAATGTACAGTATCCTGCAAACCAGTAGTTGTCAACCTTCCTAATGCTACAACCCTTTAATACAGTTCCTCATGTTGTGGTGTCCCCCAACCACAAAGTTATTTTCGCTGCACTTCACAACTGTAATTTTGCTACTGTTGTGAACTGTAACGTAAATATCTGTGTTTTCCAATGGCTTAGGTGGCCCCTGTGAAAGGGTCGTTTGACCCCAAAGGGGTTGCGACCCACAGGCTGAGAACCGCTGCAAAACCAATGCATGATTGACATTTATAGAGTAGTTATAAATTAGATTTTTTGTTTTGCTTTGTTTTCATTTGTTATGATTTAATTTTTTATTTTATTGCTTGCTTGTTTTTTGGGGTTTGTCTTCTTGAGACAAGGTTTCTCTGGGTAGCCCTAGTTGTCCTGGAATTCACTCTGTAGATGAGGCTAGCATCGAACTCACAGAGCTCTGCCTCTTGAGTGCTGGGATTTAAGCAGTGCGCCACAACCACCCAGTGTGGCTAAGTGTTTGAAGACAGGTTCTCCTGTGGCCCAGGCTGGCCTGGAAACTCATGGTACAGCAAAACTGTATCCTCTTGCTTCCACCCCTTGCCACCACACCTGACTACAGAGCACTTTTGAAAGCCTATGTTATACAGGGAACATGTAATCATAGACTTGCGACTGCTTCTTCTCAGTGGTGCTGGGCTGGGACAGATGATAGCAAAGGACTGGGATTTGAAAGAGTTGTCTATGTGGAAGGCTGTGCCTAGCTGAGACATCTATTGCCGACTGCTCCAAAGCTTGGGAAACATCCAGAGGAGGGAGTGGAAAAAGTATATGAGCCAGACGCTTGGGAGGAGGGTTACAAGAGCATCTTCTGGACGTGACAGGGACGTTTTCTTCATGAGCTCACTGTAGCTGCAGTAGCTGGGTCATGACTTTGTGTCATACACATAAAAGGAGCTCATGAGGCTCTGCTCATCACTGAGGAACTATGAGCAGATAATGGGTGCTGGGGGTGTGTCATTTTCTTTAGTGGTGTAGCCACTGATAAGATGCCCATATTCCAGTAAATAACCCCAAGTAGCACCTATGCAAATAACTTCATTTAAACTCAGTGAGTCAAAAAGAAGGAAAAGACGTCAAAGTTGGGGGGAAAGGAGGAGTTTCCAAGGGAGACAGAGAAATGAGAGTCATGGGGGTGACTTAAGCAGAAGTTCAGAATATCCATGTCTCAAATTGCTAAAGCATAAATAGTAGAAACAAAACAATCTAGCTAAGAAAAGGGGGCACACATTGGGGGCCCAGGGAATCAAGAGAAAGCTAATTAAGGTCAGGAAAGGACAGAAATAGGAACCAATCCAGCCACTAAGCTGACTAGATCTCCCTGGGCCAATAGGGGGCGTGAGGAAGGCTGGTGCTGACCTGGTAGAAACTGTGATATGGTGAAGGGGAGGTTTTTATTATAAAGATGGGGGAGAAAACAGCCAGAGGCATCTGGAAGAGTCCAGAGCAGAGAGAAAGTAGACTGAACATGCCAGCAGACAGGGCCTGGCTGTGAGAGAAAGCAGGAGCCGAGCAGAGAGGGAGAAAGGAGGGGAGCCAGGGAGGGAGAAGCATAGCTGACATAGCAGGGCTATAAGGAGAAGTGAGCCGCTGGGGAAACAGGCAGGAGCAAAGGCAGGGCAGGAGGAGCGCTGAGAAGAACCAGGATGTCAGCACGGACTCTGAAGTGCGTAACAAGTGCTCTTGATACTGAGGGAGCCAGGAGGCCAGCATGAGCTTTGGTACGCTAATAGCACCTTAGATAGCCTTTTGTCTCTTCGGCCAGGGTTAGGGAACATGGCTCCTTTGCCTAGTACCTGAAGAAGGCTGACTGTTGTCTAACCACCAGATTCTGGGGAAATGAAGTTCCCTTTGGGCCTGACAGACCTGACAGAGGACCATTTTGGTGAAATTTATGAACTGGGGAGTGGGGAAGGAAAACAAAACAACAAAAAAAGACACTGCTCTTTTGAAAAGTTGTGTTGTTGTAGTCATTGGAAACTCAGGAAGAAATGCGGATCAAGAGGACTGTGTCTTTCCCTGGTGTGTTCTGACGTGAGGCAGGCTGGAGCAGTCTTGCTGGCAAATGTCTGACTGCTGCTTCCTTCCCATCTTTCCTGCTCAGCTCTGTGTCGCCCTCTGGTCCTGCTCATTACATCGTTTTATTCTTTTTGTAGCCCCCGTTCCTATCTCTAAGACCTCTGTGTGTGTTTGCTTCTACCAAGAAAATGTATGAAATTTTTCTCTGTATTTGTCATGATACCAGCCTTTGTTAGAAAGTGAGCCATCTGGCTCCCTGTGGCAGTTAAACCGGAGGTCTGAGGGTCTGGATAGAATGGACCATGATTTCTGCCTAAAAATGAAGTCTCTTTTATGTGTTCAAGGGAGTTGGATTGACGGGGAGCGCTTCCTGGCTCAGGTTAAACCAGACTTGTGGTTCTCTAATGAGTGAGCAACGGACAAAGCAGAGGTAGCAAGGTGGGGCTCCATGTGTGCAGAACCAGGATTCTGAACCACCTCCACCCAGAGAACATCTCTAGATACAGGTAGCCAGAGGGCTGCAGTGGGGGGGGGACACAGGGTGGGGGAGAAAATAGGTAACAACACCAGCAAAAAAAAAAAAAAAAAAAAAAAAAAAAAAAAAAAAAAAAAAAAAAAAAAAAAAAAAAGAACTGGAATTGGAATGATTGGGACGTGGAGAAAATCCTAACTGTAAGGCCAGATCCTACCCTCAGATCTTTACATATCTATTTAATTATCCTCACACCCTCAGGGGGAGGCACTGTTATCTTCCGTAGAACGAAGAAGCTGAGACACAGAGAAATAAGTTACCCAGAGTCACACGGTGACGCCAAGACTGGACCTGTGGGCTTGCAACCAGAGTGTGAGCAAAAAACTGCCCCGCTGTTCACGACACTGCCTCATAGTTGAGGACTGGGCACACACGATGGGCATTCAGGGCTGGGCACCACTACTGTTCCAGGAATGATTGGCTGCCCAGGGTGTGAGGTGACGATTATCTAGACGCCGTTTTCAGAGCCTCTCCCCAGAGGAAAGATCTAGTCAGGCCGTTGGCTTGCAGCTGGCTGAGGCTAAGGCAGGTTGAGGCAGACTGAAGTGTCTTCTTGGATTAGTCCTTCACACCTAAGCACAGTGTGTTTTCCACTAACCCTTCTTCAGATGACTGCCCAATTAGGTGATTGGACGCGTGACACCCTGAGCTGTTGCTCTGGGTTTCTTTTCCATCTGGCCTCTTTCCAGGGGTCGATTGCACACCAGCCTTGCGTCCAAGGGAGCAGTGACTTCAGGTTCTGCCCTAGCCCTGAGCCTCATCTGAGACCTGGCCTAGGATGACTTTGTAGATTTACATCTGAGGGAAGGACAGCCCCAGGGCCCAGAGGAGGAGAGCCAGGCCCTCTCAGTTTCTGAAATGATAAATAGCCCTGCCAGGTTACCGTTAACAAAGAAACGCTCTGTAGAAGGACCTGGTCCCACACCAAAGCTGATTAGGTCCAGCCAACAGTAGAAATGAGGCTTCCAACACACCTCGACTCCACATCACCCCAGAACCTGGAAAGAAGGACAGGAGTATCTCAGGGGACCTAAAAAGCTGGAGTAACTCTATGAGGAGAGTGGTTCTCCCTCATCCCTTAGTGCCTTTTCCCTGGAACAACCTCCGCCTGGGCTTCCGTAGGTCTGACTGGCAGGGGCACCCACTAATGGTTACTAGGAACAAGCGAAAGCCGGCAGGAGGCCAGGACAGGTTTCAACCCAAAAGACAGGTGTCAAGACGAAGCCAATATGGCAGCCAGGGTCCATGAGTGCTCTTCTCCCAAGATACCCAGCCTTCATCAATGTTTCTGTACCTTCCTCATTCTCTTAGACTCCAGCTGGCGCACACACAGTTGTGGCTATAGCATTTTGAATCTCAGTGTGCCTGTATGGATGGATGCAGGCGTTAATGAAAAAGTTGTAATGATACTTGAGACAGTACAGCAGACTTTATTCTAATGGAGGACATCGTCATAGGTATAGGGACCGCTGTGCATACTCTTGCCCCAAGGGACAAGATTAGATACAATTCTAACAATGAAAACTGGGGATTATAACCAAGAAGTAGAGTGACCGTGGGTGGTAATAAGGTTCCAAGGTCATTGGATATCAAAGGTAGAAAACTTTCGCTAATTGGCTCAAGCCATTTGGCAGGATTCTTGCTCAGAGTGGGTTTTTCAAGGACAGAGAGTGAAGTCCACTGCCTGGCCTATCAGAAGAGACGGAGGAGCCTGACTAATG